TTGAACGATCTACAATTTTCTACGAACACTCGTCTTCAGAAATGGCGCGCGGCCAAAGCTGAGCATTCGGTTGGCAAGCCATCATCGCGCCTGCTCCAAGACCCCGGGCCGCGGCTGCTCCGTATTCCTCCCAGCGGCCTGGCAGAAAAGAGCGCTACGGAAGGTTGCTCTTCCGGGCCGTAGGCTGAGAAGCTTGATTGACTTTTGCGTTAGCCGGTGCTGCTCATCTTGGCAAGAATGATGCCGCATTGCTTGCCCTGTTCGGTTACGCGCTATCCTGTTCCATGGGGTGCCAAGTGGTCAGCCGCGTCATGATTGCACCTGATTGTGGAAGCCTCGAGTTTTCCTGGCTTGCTGAAGAGCGAGTAACTCATCTGTTGAATCTATTGCGTGAATACGGTTCGAAGCTTCAACATTCCCTGAAGGACGGCAGCCGACTGATGCCGTCATTCCGAAACCTCAAGCCCTCAGACCCTTGATTCTCAGAACATGCAGCCTCATGATACCTGTCGAATGACAGACCCACACAGCTGCCAGTATCTAGCGGGTTTTACCAACATCATCCGTTCTTGCAATCGCGCCTCAGGGCCCTCTGAACCTACCAAGCGCTACATACAGCTTTAGCCCCAAAGACAAGTGATTCCAAACCCGAGATTCTGCCTTGCACCAAAGGGCTGTCTAGTGGCTATGGCAAATGTCTCCAAATCCTCGGTTTGCTGTCCCTCAGGACGTAGAGTATCGCTACCAGCTCACATCTTTAAAGCGGGTGGCTTACAAACAAGCCACTGCCCAATCACTTGGTGTCAGAAGGCACAGCAGTCCCAGGCACTGCCACTAAGTGAGTAGAGCCAAAGCCCTCGCGCACATTCAGCTGCACGGAAGCGCACCTCGGGCTCTCTGACTCGTCTGATGCTTACAATGCTCCTAGGATGAGTAATGACATCCCCTAGCCGGCGATCATCGTTACAAGCTAGAAAATAGCAGTGTCAGGCCACTTCTGTCCCTCGCGGAAAGCTCCCTCGAAGACTGCCGCCACGTATTCTGGCAGAGCCAACCTGAGTGCCCAAGGCCCAAGAATTTTTGGCATTCCATGACCATGTTTATGATGATGAAAGAGGAACGTGCATCTCCTTCAGAAGTGGGCATATGGCAATTGATTTGAGATCATGCTTGTGCATGCCAGGCCTTGTTGCGCGCGCAGCTTGCTAATCTGAGCTTGCCACCACTCGCCCTCAACTTGCATGCGCCACTGCCAGACATGCGGTGCGGCTGGGCACGTCATGAGTGGAAGCTCCTTAGTCTCATGTGGGACCGGCCATATATGACATCCTGCTACAAAAGAAAACAGAGACTTTCAAATTCAAGGCTTATTAGGAACGGAGTAGCCGGGCAGTGATGTCAAAGCCTGCATTCTGGTTCATTCAGCATATTTGGGCCTCCATAGCGTTTGTCAAAAGGGGGGTCTTACAAACCTCCGTCGCCACTCAAAATTGAGTAGGAATGTGGCATGATTATGCAGCTTACAACACAATGTCTTTGGTCTGGAACGGCGATGGGATGGGGCAATGAGCCCTGTTATGTACGAACAGGATCACGAACCAAGGAGCGTGAATCCGGGACATGGGTCAAGAAGTATACATGCAAGGGCAGTGCATGTCCTCATGCCCTAATTAGGCACAACAGAATGATAAACTTCCAAGTAGGAACCAAGAATAGCTCAAAGGTTTCGTAGGCATGAGATGGCCTGTAGCAAAGTCCTGCCATACACAGATGTTTCTATGTGAGATATGTGAGCTATAGTCTAAACTCCTAGTATCCCCCTTAAAAATCCCTATAGCTCTCCTCCCACAACATTGATTGATGATCTACCTCGACCCCAAAGTAGGTAAAACACAAGAAGGCATAGCCCAAAAGGCCATGATTCTACACACTTCTGGGGTTCAGGTACAATGCACAGCAGGTCTCGTCGGCCATGGCGATAGCTCCGCACAGAACGTCAAGTTTCTGTGCCTCATGGAGTGTCATGGAAGAACAGTCCTCAGCTCAGGGCACGGGGCCGCCTTCGTTCCAGTGCAACAGGTAACCCAGATTCCTAATGCAAAGAAGGTTCGATGCCTGCCTTCACCATGGCGTCCTTGCAACTGTTCTTGTGATCTGAGTATCACATGCTCTGTGCAACGAACCAAGCTGTCACGCCATGTCTCCAGTTCAATGGCAGAGCCCAAGTCCCGGCGACATGGGTACGTAAAAAAAAAAAAAGACATGCATGATGCACTATCATCACTGTCATAGGGACCCGCCGACAAACATCCTTTCGGAAGGCCTCATCTTCCCATACTCCCATGGCATCCTAGCCTTGAGCTTCGTGGCATCCGCCCAGGAGGGATCCTGCAGAGAGACCTTGACCGTGTGCTTGCTATCCTCCTGAGCACAACTGATGGATGGTAAGGCAGGCAGGAAGGGGAGGAGCCATGGTAACGGCTTTGTTTGTTCCTTTCTCGCTTCTTCACTGTAAGATGATGAGAGGAAACGGAAATTTGACCGTCTGGCTGGTGGGACAAGGACGGCCCTATGCCTGGAACAGGGAAGCAAGAATATCGGCATGAGTGCAATATTGCCAGGCTCAGGGCCCAGTGTCTCTTTTCTTGACGGCTTTTCTGCAGTGTCACCAACCCTTTGTTTGTTTGAGATCTGTGCGCTAGGCCCTTTTGGGCGCAGTGAAGAGATGTACGTGTTTTTTACAGTATTGCCTGCTGCAGCGCTTGCTCGAGCCCTTGTCAGCTTCATGCAACCCACCAGCCCAAACACGGCCAAGTCTCGTAGATGGCCAACTGCGGCGACAGAACAACATCTCGCAACACCCTCTCCTCAGTCACGAGCAAGCGCTTTGGAAGACAAAACGGCCTTGCGTGTATACCTGTGGCAGATGACAATCTACAGTAATGCGTCGGAACCGTCTTTGCACCACAGATTTCCAGCCAGCGAGTGCGAATCTGAAACCTGGACGTTCTGAGGCTCCAAAATGAACGCGTTGCAGTGCACGTGCCATGTCAACAAGTTTAAGCCAACAAGTCAAACCTGCTGAATTCCCAATTGCGCTGGTCGCAGGATTTTTCGAGTATTAGAGAGGTGTGGACAGACTCTTGCTGGGGCAAAACTCAAGCTTGGCTGAACTGCTTGACATCTTAAACAAAAGATAGCAGGCTGTTGAGCGTAAGGCTCCACATCAAGGCAAAGGTCCCAAACGACACGTACTGCGGAAAAGGGGCCGAAATCTCAGGGGCCAGGTTGCGCGTAGAGCTTCTGAGAACAGAGGCCACTTCTTCTGCCTGGGCTGTATAGTGAATGCATAAATCCAGTGTCTGTTGGGGGCAAAGGGCCGGAGCTTGGGGATTGGGTACCTTGAAGTTGCGAGTAACATGTAGAACGCATAAGCCGCATAAGGGTCAAAGAGGCGGTGACTGAGAACAGGAACCAAGAAAACCTTTTTTACTGTGGCCCTTGCTCCTTACATGTTCCCAGGCGCGCTCCGCGAGGTTGCTGCAATTTCTTTATTGCCGAACGGGGAACGGAGGATTGAACTTGTGGCCTCGGCGTTCGCAGGCGTCCGGGATTCAGTCGCGAATGTCACGATTCGACTGTACCAACAAATAGCCGGAAGCTGGTGGGTCTGGGGGGAGGGCTAGCGTGGAGTCCTTCCTGAAGCCATCCACCTGTTGGTCGCAGCTCGAGTTTTAAAGCCTCATGGAAACCCACCACACCGCAAAACTCTTGATGCCACGGGCACCGCACAGATCAAACTCACCAGGTCGAAGCGAAGCAAAGCAAGTCGCGGGCCAGACTGTTTTTCATCGCGAAAAGAGGAAAAGGTAATGGTATGAGATGCCAATAATTCTCGCCATTTAATCTCATGCATGAACGCAACTACCACGGGAAAAGTGCATCAGGGATTCGGGGATACAGCTACAAAATGCTATCAGCAGCAAATAAAAACACTATCATCTTGCCAAAACATGCAATCCGTTTTCCTCATCCAGGCATTTACTGGACTGCTGCGGAAGTCAGACATCAACGCACCGGCCGGGTACAAAGCGATTCCGGGAATTTCCGATGTCTCGGCGGGAGATTTCCGCTATCTGGTCGGGGATTTGCACAATTTGGCCAGCAATTTCCGCCTTTGGGTCTCAGGATCGTTTCGGGAATTTTCGCCATCTGGCTGGAGGATTTCCGCCATCTAAGTGGGGGCTGGTTGGGTCGCTGATCAGCTGAAAAAACGCTACTTGCGCTATTGACAACTGAGACGTCAGCTCCCAATGCGCTATCACGAAAAGTAGCCCAGGCTGGCACCGGAGTCTCAAAAATGCCGCCAGGAACCTATTTCCGCAATCGCCTGCTCAACACCTGAAATTCCTCAACATATTGCTGCAAAAGGCGGCCTAGATCCGCACAGTATGGCATGAAAAGCAAGCGTAAGCATGCGTAAGCAAGTGCCAGCAAAGGTACAAGTATCTAGGTAGGCATGTCTATATATCTATGTTTTGGTGTGGCGTGAAGCCCCCTCTTGTGGCGGAGCCCTCCCTTGCTACGACACTCTGTCTCAGCCCCCTATTTTCAACCCCTTTGGCTCGGCCCCACGCTGAATACACAAATGATCAAGGACTTGTCGCGAAGGGGGTTCCGTTGTAGGATTCCATTGTCGCGGGAGGGCAGCCCGAGGCCTGTTACCAGTTCAAGCCCAATGTTTTTGGGTCATTCCCTATATATGGATGTTTGCCGGTTGCCGATAATGATGTGTTGTCGCATTCCGCGCCCAGAACCCTCTGTCACATAGCCCCTGAAAGGCTCCCAATGCGCTTAGCCATTGCGCCTTTTTGTCGCGAAAACCGTGCTGGGGTATAATGGGATAGGTCCCGGGCCTTGCTACAAGCAAGCCATTTTGGATACACATGCACTCAGCGACAAACATTCGTATTCAGCTGAGCACAGATGGTCCCAGGGGCCGGGGCCACAGCTGCGTCCAGGTCAAAGGAAAAGTCCTTCCAAAGCTACACAGCACAAAAATCGCAGATTGCAACGATGAGAAGAGCCTGGGATCGCATGCCAACACTGCCTGTACCGTGGCTATCCCAAAGCTCAAAATTGACACAGTTCAAGCAATGAGTTTTTGCAATAGGTTGAAGCATGAGATCATGATTGCAGCGGTAACTGCTTGCTTGCACAGTCTGAAGCCCGACAGCCCTCTATCCAAAGTCCAGAACAAGGCAGGCGTATTGAGTGACGCAACTCAAACTAGCTGTTGGAGCACACCTCTGACACTGCGACTTCTTCGCCGTCCACGTAGAAGAAGATGGCAGACCTGGCCATGCAAAGCTGAAGGAAAATGGAAAGTACCGAACAGCGGATGGGCATAATTGGACATGAAACCGTTGCCCACCTAGCCTGCCACACCCTATGCCAGCATAAGTTCCCACTGCAAGCCATTCTGCTTCTATATATAGAGTACAGTGCAGACCTGCTCAGCTGCTCCCCCCAGATCACGGTGCCAGTGGTCAGCTCTCTCGCTCTCAAAGCACAGAGTGGAGCGTCGACCAAAGATAGCTTGGGCACCTGAACAGCGAGTACACATGAAATGCATGGAATAGCTCCAGCGCTTCTTTTGGGCTACCTGGGCTTCTGCTCAATATGCTTCAGTTCGGATGCACCAAGAAAGCTGCAGTTGCTTGCCTAGCTCTCAGCGGAACACAAACTACGGTAATATTTTACAAGCTTGCATGCAGGCCAAAGCCTGTGCTTCAAATGTATAGATAGCTCGAGCTTATGCTTGGGTGCGTCCCGGCTCCCAATTTGCCTCGAAACGCCGAGTCAGAATCTGAGCAAGCCGTGCGCGACCTCTTCATGAGCGGGAAGCCAAACAAACTGGCTCGTGAATATCGAGAAATCATAGTTACCTTGACACATGTAGAACTCACCGTGGCCGGCTCGACAACTCTTACGCCTTCGGCGGCCTCAACAAGATAAGATTTTTGCCGCAACCAATCCTACCGCCCCTGCTTCGGAGGCGTTCATCCTGAAACCCAAATCAGATGAGCGTCCACTTTGCTTGAGCAACCCAGGCAGCACAGGCACGACTAGTCGGTGTTCGCTCGGCCTGGCACTGTAAGCAGGCCTGCTGGTGTAGCTGCACTCATTCTAAAAAGCTCTGCTCATGACAAAAACAAGGGAACACAGATTTCTGACAGTGGTGAAAGAGACACTTGAAGTTCGAAAGATGAACAATATCTCTGCTTGTAACGATTCGCTTAGTTTGGTAAAGCTGCCTGATGCCCTCCTTTTTGAAAGCGATGGCGAACGCCTCCGAAACTAGCTGGAAGTCGACCTTCTGCAGGTGAAGCATTTCATCCGGAGCATTTACACTTATATACACTTATATCTCGGCTCAACTGTCCCAGGGAACTTACCCTGAAATGCTGAGGAGTCCGTGGTTCAGGGGAAACCAGGACACTAGCAACCTTGTGCACAACCCCAACACATCTTGCCCGGCCGTTGTGTGTGTCTGTGTATGTGTTTCCCCTCCTCCTCTCTTTGCAGTGCATAAGACCATGTGCACCGCACACGGCAAAGCTCAGTTAGGTTGATTCTAACTTCTGCATTCCTGCACGGACATGTGACCCTGAAATTCGCTGTCAACTGTACAGCAAATATCAACAAATCTTACCGTATTTGGAGTGAGAGGTGATTGCGAACCATTTGTACACACTTTGGCTGAGGCTGTTGCCTTACCAACTCCAGGCGCTTTGTAATGTGGCGCTCGCCAAGGTGAATCTCTTGCATAAGGATTGCGGCCTCCATCAGTGCAGGTTAGAGCAGCGCAGTGCTATCCAACACAGTTTGCTTACTCCTGCTCGACCCCGGCCTTCAGCGACTTTGCTAGCCTCTGCCTCCACGCTGAGTGCATCAAGTGCCTGCCAGCCGTATAGTATACGATTGAGCTAGGAAAGATTGAAGTTAGAATGTTGAGGCAGGGCGCAAATCATGTTTTCCAGACTACGCGGGTTTGGCATCACAAGTCTGGAAGTCAGCTGCCTATGCAATGCAATCATCTGAACTGAGACGAGATCACCATTGAAAACCATCTGATGCCCCAGCTGATCTGGACCGACTCATGCACAATGTTTGGTGGCTTCCCTCAAACCCGAGACTCAGATGTGGGCATCTCAAAAACAAAGATTCCCGTTTCATAAGCCCCAGTCATGTAATGTAATCCTTGCCCTGAGCCATTCGTTGAAACCTTCATCCCTATAAATCGCTGTTAAACCCAACATCCATGATTCTCCTTTACTGGGATATATTGGGCTAATCTCCGCTGTTTTACAGAAAGCTCGCTGTCTGGTTGTAGTCTACAGTGAAACGAGCCCAGGTCTCGGCCTTAAAAGCCTTTGTCCCTGCCCAGGTGCCTCCACACTCCCGTGCCTCAGCTACACCATCAGCGGGTAGAATAAAATAAAAACTGGGAGTACACAGCGGTTTATGGAAATATGTGTAACCCAACTAATGGACAGACAAATATGGAAAAAGAACATGGCAAATGTCATGGCACTCAGGCTTATAGGGATGGGTAGGGATTAAGGGTTTTGGGCTTACTTGCCGCTTCTTCGTAGGGCATGGAGGATGGGACAAGAAAATGGAAGCAAATCTTGCTGAGGATTACATAGTAGGGGCGACTATAGGGATTGATTCCTCTATTCCCTGCTAACAAGCCTTACAGTACGTAAGACATAAAGCTCTCCGTGCCAGCCATACATACAAAACATGCAGTGAGCCCCGGCCCTGAAGCTTGTTTTCTGCTGCAGCCGTCCATGTCTCAACATTGTGCTCATGATATGGTGGCAATGGAGTTTTCAGAGGAATGAGCCCACAGAAAAAGCTATCTGCGCCATGACAAGAACTGTTTTGGGAGGACTCTAAGGTTCTAAAACACGCCCATAACAAGAATGGCGCGTTGGACTTTAAATAATCGAGCGAGAGACCAGAACCGCCGTTGGCTCCATCGTCCGGAGCCCAAATCCCACCCAACCCGCTGCTTGAACGACGAGTCCCAGCCTGAGTTTGTGTGGACTGCTTGAAGGGTGTTGTGTCTAGGTTTCTCGCACATGTGCACGATGACTTACTTTCTTTCTTTCTTGCGTTGTGTGCACGATGACTCTCCATCTCTCTCTGCTGAGCTAGCTCAAGAACTTCAACTTCGCTAAAAGCATTGCACTGGCAGATGCCAAGAGGCCAATACCATCCTGGGAATGTGTCAAAAACGCCGGCACGGGATACACCTGGCACAAGATCAATGTCTGAATCCTGTGGAGGAATAAGCCCGAGCAATGCTGAACGTGCTATCGCCTTCAGTGGCACAGCTTGAGAAACACGTGCGTCGAACCGCGATCTCAACAGGACGCGCAACAAGTTTTGACTGAACAACCGGTAACTCCAGCATTAGCGATAACATCGGCACCACCGCACGCATTTTTAACACTACAACGATTTCTGTTTACGTGTGAAAACTTCAGTCGAGCACAAAAAATCTGGGCGACTTGGGACCGTTACATTAGCTTCAGCAAAGCAACCAAACCTGAACCAAGAATAACCACATCCGAACTGGCTCAGCGTTTGTTCCTGATGGCCAAACCCTTTGCGATTTACTCTTCCAGCACTTCTGCTGAGTCAGGTCCCGGGTCCTGAGAGGCTTGGTTGTTTCCATTGGGTGTCAGGGCTGATTGCTGACTAGGCGCCTGGTCCCTCTTGCCTTCTAGAGCTGTCCTTGATCGACCATCCTCCACAGGAAAGGCTCAAAGCAGCCTATAGCATTTCAAGGCTTCAAGAGGTCCAGGAATTGTCAACTCCTAGCTATATAGGAGTAATGCAAAAGAAAATGGAAACTACTATGTTAAAATGAGGGTATAGCAGAGCTACATAAGGTTTAGGGATATTGTTGGAAGCCGCTTCCACAAATTGATTTTCGAGATCCGGGCTTTGCTCGTACTCATCATGAGGTACTCTATTGATGGTCATGAGCATGCAGCCGCTCCCGCTCCCCAACCTCCGACCAGGCTTGCAGCGTGGAGGAAAGGTACACAACACCTGCGAGACTTTCGCAGAGCCCTATCAAGCAGTATCATATAACAGTCTCAAGTTTCCACGCGAATCGTCTTTTCCATAGACAACAGAAAGAACGCGGAGTCTACCCGCATGGTTATATTAGAAGGATCCAGGGCCAGCTTTCCTGAGCCTGAGCCTGGCTAAGTTCCAGCTTGCCATGCATGGTTGTGGCAAGGAAGAGTATCAGCGCAAGGCTTCGGATCCCAGATACGCTGCAAACCCCCGCAGCGTCGAGCCTGGCCCCAATAGGCAGAGTGATGGTTGGCTGAGATTGCCAAACTCTCAGGATCCCTCAAGCATGTTTTCTTCGCTTGCCGGAACACTTTCAGGACACTGCTCCCAAGCCGAAGCCAGGTTTGAAGAAGTGAGGACAAGATGCTCACAGGGGCTTGCCCAGAAAGGATGTGCTGCTTCCGATAGAGCCCCAGCCAGTCCTGGCTGCGTAAAGCGTCACATTTTAAGGGAATTTGCAGGTGAGTTGTATGCGTGCCCCTATGTACATTTAAGGCTTATGTAAGGCTTATATGGGGAGATTGATTAGGAGGTTTAGGAAGGCTATGTAAGGCCAACAGGAGGAAACTGACCACCTAGAACTACCTTAGGCTTGTGGCATGTTGGTTTGCAGCTGGCTGGGCTTGAGTAAGCTGAATCAAACTAGCCTTTTCACGCCTGTCTGGGCTCTTTGGGAACGGTCCGGAAACAAGTGTCGGGTTCCGCGCAGCGACTGAAATCGAGAACCTGAACCGCATCCACGGTATCCATGCGAAGGTGTCAAACTCGCCAGAACCCGACAACGAGGGCCGGTGCCAATGTTTCTATAGCTGCTAATCCCTCAACAGATAGATGCGTGGTCTATGATTGCAGCTTCCAACCGGGCAGCTGCAGCTTGAAAAGGACAATGCCAAGTCCTTCAACTCCGGCTCCAGGCCATATGCCTCTCCTGACTCGCATGCAGACCCAGGTGTTGCGGATTGGTGTGCTGGGGTCAACTTCCGATAAGTTTTGTGCAAGGCCTGCCGACCGGTCTGCAATTTAACTGCTTAGAGCAGCTACATGGCGAACATTTGCGCTTTCACAGCATCTAGCTCACAGCTAGATCACGAAGGTGCTCTCATTGGAGACTAGATAATTGAATTTTCATGCACTGAAGCAAACTTCAAATGCCATGAAGCAAAGCCTTCAAGCACGTCGCTGGCGTTTGGCCACCGTCGCTGGTAAAACCCATGCCACAAAGCACCTGGCTTTCGCCACAGATGTCCCCAAAAAGGCCTGCTTCCCCGCTCTCTGTGTGGATTCAAAGCTCACAAAGCTTGTCTTGATGTGGTTCTGGGCGTTCTTGGGCACCAGTGGCGCTTGAAAACACACACACAAAAAAAAAAAA